GTGCGAGAAACTTCTGGCACATGGAAAACCACAGAGAGGTCACATCACGATCTCCCAAGAAGTCTTCTATCCAGGTAATGAATTAAAACAAAGTACATCAGGACACCAGGAGTGCCATGGACTTCGAGTTGGAAAGCGCCGCGCGCTCCTGAAGGAGCGAAACAGATTGTGGTTGAAGCCGACCCGTTGGCTCCAAAATGCGAATCAATATGTTTTCTACTGTCATTGAGTTTAAATAAGTGAACATAAAGTGCAAATAAGCAACTTGGAAGTGTTCAAACTTGATTCAAGTGGTGGCAGCCTAACTTTGGTTTCCTTGGGTGAACCTCTTTCCTTGGGCAACCCCATCCGCTTCCCTAGCTCCATGACGCACCGTCTAGCGGGGGCCCGGACCACCACAGTAGGTCCCCCCAACGGCGGGCCTTGGGCGATGGCAAACAGCTGGTGCAAACCTGGTTGACACCCCCTGGTTTGAGTTGACCTCGGTTGAACGGACCTAGGTCGTCGTCCATTCTGTGCATGCTCGGTGGGTTGACCACCAGGATCCCCTGAAAAATTGATAAAAATTGACACAGCTAGCCATGAATGATTCATAACCCAAACACGACTAATGGGACTGTCATAGGACTGCACTTCTCAGGGACAGCCACGGGCTGTCTTGATCGGCAGCCATCTTCACTGGGTGTGCCATGGGGTGGATGTCCGGTCTCCGAGCGGCCTAGGGGGTGCCGTGCGGCCTAGGCAGCCGAGGCCTAGACATCGGATGAGACGCAGGTGTTCCCAAGCACCCCGTGTTCCCAACATCTCGTTTGCAACGAAACCTGTAACACTTTGGTCTCCTTGTGCCACTTTGAGGACCATAGAACAGATCCAATCAGAGAGAGTGAACAAAAACAAGAGAAAACAAAACAATCGTGGCACTTGTTATTTGCATTGGTGGAATCCAATCCTTGCGTTGCACTCATGTTAGAGGGCATTTAACAGGTTGAATCCTCCCTGAAACAAACATGGTGACGTGGATGGACAATGGCCCCCAAAAGGAAGACTATCTCCTCTACCAAGGTCTGCTGTGAGTTATCCACTTCCATGATTCTTGCAAATCGAGGGCAATTATTCAGCTGTGTGAAATCAGAGCGACAAAGTCCAGCAAGCTCTGCTGTGACAGTCTGCTCCGGCATGTTGCAGCAAAACACACATGAACAAACACCAGTGATGCACTTGCACTGCGCAAGTGAAACTTATACCAGAAACCTGGATCTGCCTTGGGTGTCGGCAAGTCAACCGTCAATGTCAATCTCCGGACCCTTGGAAAGTAACCAGCCCTCACAACAACACAACAAACAGAATCAACCAGCACCACCCACTGGGGGGATTATAGACACCCCACCCTGAAAAATCTGAAAATGCATGTTCCATCCAATAACCACTCGCGAACAGTGGGTAGGCATTCTAGCTCGTATCCAGCTCCCCGCCATGTCGCAGCCGCAGCTCCGCGCAACCCTTTTTTTTCTCCAAATCTGCGTGGGTTCTGGCCACGTCCTGCTTGAGATTTTAGAACTTTCGACCTCCTTCGGCTTTCCTCAAAGCTGCCAAAGGTCGTCGCGTCACAGGTTCGAGGCACGTCAGGCTCAGCTGACCAAAGTTCTTGAGTATCACATGGGAACCAAAAGAAAGCGAACTCTTGAACTTTCTCCCATCCCTTGAGGTCGCAGAACCTTCAGTCTCAACGGGGCCAAAGTTTCAGCAACGATGACGGTCCAAGACTTCTACATCCTTGCTTTTTTTGTTTCTTTTTCAACGCCCAACAGTCTATCAGAAAGGCCCTTGCCAACGCAACATCTCTTTGCCACTTATTCTCATCACCAGTATGTGGCACAACTTCATGCATTTAGCAGGTGTCCCAAGCGGTTTTTCACGCCCCTTTCCTTCGCTGCGGAGCCGCTCGTGCTGATCCCTGCGGGCCCCAAGGACCTCGGGAAGCCCCCCAAGTTAAGGAGAGAGTGGTCCCCCACGATCGAGCCGTTTGAAAGACCCAACACCACCAATGGCCTCCTGTTCGCCTCCAAAGACAATTCGGGTTCAAGAGATCAACCTTCAGGCGACCTTTGTGTCGGCCGACGTGTGTCTCCAACCGATCACGAGAAGAGTCACTCGCGACGAGAAGAGTCACGCACTGAGCGCAACTCTAAGACGGCCATTTTTTGTGCACCCGGAGTCTGACGGTGGCTCGGAGCTTGCCCGGATATCAAAACATAACCTCGAAAAGGGAAGAAAACCACTGTCATGAGTCATGACACAAGTCATTGAGATGGGTGGAGAAAAAACTGAGGTGTTTTTGACATGTTATAGAATGGCCCGTTCTGCCATTCTACGGGCTCCTTTAAGATGAAATGAGTGTGAACTTTTGGTCCTTTAAAACTATCTACCAGGGGCAGGGATGCTTATAGCCTTTTTAACAGAATAGGGACGTTGAGTTCATCAAGCACGATCAAACCCGCCGCCCGGAGAAAGAAAACATACGAAGACACGAAGACAAACAACTCCTGAAATGGACACCCAAGGCCGAACACAAACTAAATGTTCCCTTATGCAGGGCCTAGATTCCTAGATTCTACTGCAACACGCTCCTAGGTTCTTAGTAGCTGATTCCTGCACAAAAGAGTATCAGTCCAAGATCATACATCTTTTGCCAGCAGGACCTTGGCAAGAAACTAATCAAACCGGCCAACCGACCGCGCAAATCACAAGGCTTCCAGAACAAAAATGTAGCTGAGAGTTGGTTGGAAGACAGCTAGCCAGGTTTGGCACCACTGAGGCAAATCCATTTGGGATGGTGCGTTGCAGAAAGTCAATCCTGTCCATCGCAAAGCGCACCAAATGAAGGGTGCAAGTACATTTGGTTTCGCCTACGACTAGTCCCATGAGCTGCAGCTTGATCTCCAGGTTTAAGGCATCCATTGAGACACCAGTTTTGACCCAGGTTTGGTCTGGCGCGCGTCTGGTTGGCGGGGTGTCTCAGATTATCCAGCTTTGTAGATGGGAGAATGCCCCAAGAACTGAGGAGAAACTCTACTGTACAAATCTCTGCAGGTTCATTATTGCTACACTCCCTTGAACGGGAAATATCATGAGTATAATGGGATCTCTGCATGTCTTGCACCCACACAACAACGTAAACAAGTTAATCTGACAAAAAAAAATGTGAAGGCCCTCGCAGTTCCTCGCAGGCTCTTGTTCTTGTGGCTCCGGTGGTGGCCTTTTAATGGACACAAGATGAAACAAGAGAAGCTGGGCCCTGAACTGGGCAAAGCTGGGATGAAGATCACCCAAACGGACCATCCAACCTCAAAATGCCTTCCATTTGCTGTCAAGAGCTACATTGTTACATGTTCAACGGAATGTTCAACGGAAAAGACGCAGAAACATGGAAACACACTTTATAATATATTATAACTTTTTCTTGAGACACTCCTGATAAGTCACGAATGTTCGTGGCTCATTATGCAGTTGCAGTTCTGCAACAGGCAACCTTCGTCACAGGACCCCGCGCGAGCACGAGACCCCTGACGGCAGTCTGAACGCGAGTTGGCGTTCGCACGCCATGGAAGCCGATTCGTTCAGGAAGTCGAACGATGGGAGTTGAAGTGATCTGACCATTCCGGAATTCCTGTATCTTTTTTTATGATATGTTCTTTCTCATCGATTCATCGCGTTCATTGATGCAGGTCTATTTGCCGTTCTTCGGTCATTTTGATCGCTGGCGCTCAGGCCGCCTCTGCGCCTGCCATTGGGACATGTCGGGCATACAGAGGCCATCCGATCAAGCGCGGCGAACGCATGCACGATCCGGGGCAAAGGCCAAGAAAAACGGGCGAACATGTGGATGTTGGATGATGGTTGCAACTCAATTGTTCGAAACATATGTTTCAGTCGGGATCAATCAAGCAAATCTTATTTTGGACATACCTGGACCTGAAAAGCGGGGTGTCCAATGGAGTTCGGTGGCCAAAGTGTGTATACCGATGGGAAGGTCTGATTAAGATAAACGATGATAAAAGAATACTTAGATCATCCAACCCTTTTGGCTGTATTTATGATGCTTGCAGGCAGAAATTCTGCCCAGTTGGAAGATCCAGGTGTCTGAAACCACCACCCATGCAACATCATGCAACCCCAAACAAAAACTACCGATGTCACGCGCCTGCGCCGTCCGCCCTGCGCGCATCACCTAGCGTGGGCTGGGCCGGTGAAAGCACCGGGGATGCTATATATCGCGTATCTTCCCGCCCGCAGGTGATCGGAGTATCTCCGCAACGATCGGGCGCGGTCACGTCGCGGGTGGTCGACACGTCGAGGGACAAAGTCTATCGCTGCACTTGGCCAACATGATCTGCCCCGTGATCGTCGAGATCACCACAGCCTCAGAACGAACGAGCAAACGAAGATAGACGACCAAATGGTCGCCTGTTTTCATATATGGGCCAAGGAGTATAGATGAGGAACAGGAGACCGTTCAGGTGCCAATTGTTGCTATAGGGGTGTTTATTAACCACCCCTTACGGTCCAAACAACACCCCTTGCGATCTCCTGGTATAGGTGAGAACAGTACTTTCGATCTTTTCGGTGGAAACTGGAACATTCATTGATCTGGAACCATGTGGAGCAATTTATATACTCTCTGACTCTGGACAAATCTCCCAAAACATAATAAGTCACTAACTCAGCACCCAAACCACTCCCCAACGTTCGTTACATCAACCAAAAACATCCAGAAACCACACCAAACCGACCGAACCGCCTGAAAACGGCCCGCGTTTCGCCCAACTCCTGTGGATCTTGTTTCAGCTGGCCGCGAGACCGAGAGAAGGGTGAGACCGAGAGAAGGGTCCAGTGACCGCAAGTCTGACTGCATCATCTGGGCAAATCAACAGATATCATGAGATTGAGATCCTCCTCTTAATTTCCAGTGTAAGAATGAGGGGAACATTATAGGTCGTTTGCTGGGATTTGGATGGATTTGGCCCAGACTAATTTAATAGGTCAATGCTGGACAATGTCTATGCCTTTCCGGGTCCATAATTCCTGGGCTCAAATATACGCTCAAATATACGGAGCACGACGCAGCTCGCTGCTCCGCGTCCGAATTACCAAAGCGAGACGGTGCCCCCCCAAACTTTGCGTATTTGGGAGCAATTCATGTCTGAATTTCCGTGTTCTCGGTCCAAGGGAAGCTGGCATTCCTTTATGAACCTGCATTGGGGCTCATGGCTCAGAACCAACAGAGGTTTACTGCCTTTGGGAACCGGCATTTGGGAGGCAACGCTCAATCTATCCCGGGAACCAAAGAATTGGAGTCGATGTCGGTGTCCACCCCTTTTCGGCTGACGCCCAAATCATATGGAACCGGAGATGCATAGACTGCACCGCTCCTTTAAAGAATGGCGCGTGCAATTTGAGCATTAGATCTTTGTTGGCTCCCATGGGCCCTTGAAAGACAAGTCATCCAAAGAAATCGAAAGCGTCGGCTCCTATCGCATCTATGGCTCCTTGACACTGGGTGAGACGGGATTGCCCACCACCGGCAGCCCCACCACTGTGCCCATCGGCAAATCCGCGTGGACCCCATGGGCGGGAGTGATTGGAGCCACGATCTGGGCCTGCATGAGCTGATATCTCCGCAGGCCGGCACAAATGCCCACGGTGGCCAGGACCATCCTCGGCAAGCTGCGCAGGTGCGCACCGGTGCGGGTTACGCGGTGCGGTGAAGGCGGCGGGTGGGGTGCAGAGAAGCAGAGAGGAACAGGGAATCCACATGGAACAAAGGCTCAACCTCGTTGGTGTGGAAAGTTGCCCCTTGAAAGACTCCTCTCATTAGAAACACAAGTTTTTTGCACTTCCATGTCAGCTTGATCCCCACCCTCCAAGCCAACTAAGGAGGAAGGAGGGCATGGCGAAACTGAAAAACATGACATGTGTCGTTCTCTCTTTTCCAGAAACCCGTCGACGATGTCGACAATGCATGTTCAAACATGCGCCAAATCACTGACATCTCACACCCTTACATCTCTAGACTGATGGTGTTGGGGTGGGGTCCAGTCCACTGAAGAGTGACATGTTCGGGAAGCATGAACATGACGCCGATGATGACGACAAAGTATGGAAAAGGAGGAGGAAACCAGCAACATCAAACGCGACGATCCTCTTCCGTGATGTGATGAGCAAGCATGATGGTTCATGCTTTGTGCATGCTGCAAGTTGCATGCATTTAGCCAGGGCAATGGGTTACAAATACCTGGCATATACCTGGCCCTTCAGGTCGTGGAATTTGCTCGGGTGCCCATGCCAGGTGATGTTTCAGGTGGTTTCTGCCAGGTGATGTTGAAGGCTCTTCATATTCTGGCGCTGGCTTGATGAAGCGCTTCAATATGCTTGGTCAGTCCCGTGTCATGAGTCCATCGGACAAACGGACCAACCCGAGACAAACAAGTTCACGCTTGCTCGCCTGCCTGGCTGGATGGATCGAATCGAAAACCAAGGAACCAAATAACATTGATGAGGCGAGCCATATGTAAGATCTCAACGCCATCCTCGTACTCGAAATCCATGGTCCAATGGATCAAGGAGGACACCAGAAACTCCACAGTGAACTGACCTCCTATGGCAATCAAGAAAGGATAGTCCAGAAGAACCAGATTCGTTGAAGAGCAGGGTCCACAGGGGCAAGGCCGGGGTACGTCTGGCATCTGTTCTGGACAGCAACCTGGCGTGTTGGTGTGCTGCCAGAACAACAATTCAAAACGCTCTATCTATCTATCTATCCACCCATGGTCCACCCATCCATCCATCCATCCATCCATCCATCCACCCATCCATCCATCCATCCATCCAATCCGATCTTTTGTACTTTTTGGATCTTTTTGGATTCAGCAGGTTGGGTGCTTGGGATCCGCAATCCCACCCCAAAACAGGATCAAAAAAAGAACACATCCTCAGCAACCACGACTTTACTCAATATGCTGCGCTTTCTGCAAGGGCTTCGCACAAACTCCAAGCGGCAAGGGGCGCAGCATCGCGAGGTGGTGATGAGAACGAAGACCACCACAGCTCCCACGTTGAGGAGGTATTCCACCTGGTGGCTTCCACGACAACCGCGCGAACGGATGGTTGGTGCATGGGCCCTACGGTTCACAAGGCAACCAAGCTCTTCTCGTGCTTTTTGATCTTTTTGGGAATTCGATGTTGGGTATAATATATACATATATGCCATTCCCTGTCACAGTGGATGATGGGACACACCGCTTTCTCCACGACATCCTCCCGCATGCGCGGCCCAATCCGACCGCTGCGCGCCGGGGATGGGCGCCACTGAGGTCTTTAGACACGTACTGTTTTCTTTTTGACTTTTTTTGAGGGAGTCTCACGGTAATAAATAAACTGTCGTTAATTATCCACAACAAAAACATTGGGATTGTCAAAGCTTTTCATATAAGCCCTATTCATCAAGAGTCTACTTTATAATGTGATAATATCATATTAATGGAAATCAATGGAATAAACATTATGCAGGAAAAAATGCATCACAATCATGTCATGCTAGATCTGGCGCACCAGAGCCGTGTTCAGATTCAGATCCGCTTCGACCAGGCCCATGATGAAGAAGGCCAAGAGCACCACGGCATAGATGGCGCAGGCTACAATGTAGAAGAGCTGCATGTAACTGCTAGACCCCAACTCATTGCAGCACTTGCCCTCACACATGGCCACCGATATTTTGCCGTGCTGAAAGCACGCTCAAATACGGTGATCGTTTGGGCGGGCGCGGGCGCATGGGGCCACGCGTGGTCCAAAGCCACACAGCTGATACGCACGAGACAGAGGTAACACACCGATCTTTTGCTGTGGTGCTTTTGGATGAACATTGGCACACCAAACCCTTAAACCCTTGCTGTGCCTCCAAGCGCTTCCAACGAAGCTGGGCCCGTAGAGACACGACGTTGATCCAACCGGACCAACGGATCTCCAGCTGGACCGCGTGGTTGGGTGCACCCGGCATGGGCGAGCCTGGCCTAGCCTTCTGAAGGTTTGACCTAGCCTTCTAAGACCATTGAAGCGATGGTTGACCGGGCTTTCTAGTGCAAAATCATTACAGTATACATGGTCGGTCAAGGCTACTAAATCAATGGTGGTTCGAATCCTGGGTTGGGGTGCCCTTGGAAATATCAACCATACTAAATCACTCCAAAACCATATAATAGCAATGTATATATATATAGTAATTATCCTTGGGTATTATCCTTGGGTACGTCCCATCATCAGCAACAGTGGATGATACTGTGGATGATGATGGTTAGGTTCCAGGACCACTCAAAAAATCCTCCAAAGAGTCTTCCTGGTGCCCTGGTCTTTTCCTCTCACCATGTTTCAACTCCCAAAACTGCACCCCCACCGACAGTTAGCCCCCCAAAGACTGCGCTCATCCCACTAGAAATCCGGCCCTTTGGTCAGGCCAGGCAGCCACAGCCAAAACGATGAAGCCAGCTCTCAATGTGGAGTCCACATCGAAGCAAGTCATCACCCCACCTGCTCCGATGCGTGGCCACACGCACCCCCCGCCCTCAGGGTGGCAACGTGACGTGAGCTTCCACGCCGGGCGTGAAACGGGCGTGATTTCTTGGGAAATACGAGCAAGGCTTGAAAAGAGAAGCAACTACAGTTAATTAAACTATATGCCAGCTGTCTCTTCTCAGTAGTAGCAAGGGCATCGCTAGTAGGAGCAAGAAGCTACTAGTAGCTCCTGACATTACTACTATAGGAACGAGAAGCTACTAACTAGTATAACAAAGGGCATCGCTACGAACGGAGCAAGAAGCAATAGTAGGTTGGAGGAAATCGCTACTAGCAAGAAACTACTACTAGCAACAAGCTCAAACACGACTAATGGGACTGCCAATATATCCCGATCAATTGACCCCCGAGTCTACCACCCTTGGCCTGATCGGCAGTCCTGTGGCAGTCCCATGGCCGGGTCGTGTCAGGGAAGGGCATGACTTGCTCCATCGAAACGGCCCCACCTGGCATCTCGTCGGCCAGGGGGCTCTTCGCCAGCATCTGATCCAAGGAGTCCTGGGCACAGCGTCCGGACACCGTTCGGTTTCGTCGTCCGGACGGTACTGGACTATCCGAGTCCCATGTCCTTCACCAGCAAAATCACATGTCTTCAAGTGGTGTCTGACACCCCGTGGATCCAAAAACAAGGCTGGGCCTCGACCCGCCAAAGTCCACAAACTACGCTCCAAGCACCAGCATGCGGGCCCTGAACATAGCAGTTTTTTCCAAATGATGGTGGCACCCCTGGCAACACAAATACTGAAACTCCATGATGATACAGTATATAGTCACGGTGTTTTAAAAAGTAACTTAAACAAGTCGCCGATACCAATACAATATTTATACAAAGTATGTCAATGTGAGTGCTCTATCTTCCTAGGGTTCCAAACAGGCCCTGGAAGCCCTAAACCATGGTCCCATCCTGTCTTCCCACACCTCCCCACCCAACACCATACGGGTTTTGGGGGTGCAAGGCGGAGCGTTGGAGCTGGACCCCGTGCCCGGCAAAGCCTCGCCATTGGTTTACACACACAAACGATTTACACTCTGACATTGGTAACCTGGGTCTGATGGTTTTCCTCTACCAGTGGTTTTCAGGGGTCCATGTGAGTTTTCGAGAGTGTACCAATCTTTTGCCATCTAACCAGGTTACCTGCGCCTAATCTACCTATTCTACCTTAATCATGATCTTGGGACATGATGACACATGTTATACCTTTACATGCTTGACATGGCCACCCCACACCAAAACCGTCCCCAAAGCAACCATCTCTTGGCCGCAAGCCAAGGCGCACACTTGTTGCCCACGATGAAGTCCGCGAACTGCCGGATCTCGAGGACCCCGGCGAGGATGGTCACACAGAAGACGTCCAGGCCACTCCTGGGAGAGGACGGTCGCCGGCGACCGAGGTCAGACGGGAGAAGGGCCGGGCGAAGCGGATCGGGTTAAAGCCTCCAACATGGGAACTCCAGGATGGGGGCACGAACACATGAATGAAGCAGGTGCTTCGAAGAAACGAAAAGCCGGAACACTGACGCGACCTTTGGGCCACATCCACTTGGATCACATCCACTTGGATGCTTGACAGGTCATCCGTCGGCTCGGACGGCCGTCGACTCGGCCGTCCGAGCCGCCGCAGGACACCGCAGGACTCGACACCCCAAGCAGGGCATGGAAGAAGGCATGGGCCTTCCCGGAACTTCCATGGCTTTAAAGTATGTATGAATATGATATGGTAGACTCTTGATGATATTTCACTCCCCATATGAAGAGCTTCGACGATCCAAAAGGTTCTTTTGACATTCAAGAGCCGGGACTGCTTCGGCGACAGGCCAAATCCCCCAGTTCCAACTACTGATGTCATCAGGTCATGGGTCCTTCAATACCTACCACACACATCTGCTTGATGACCCAGCTATATCCCACAGACCCAGCTCCAACCCGTTCAGATCCACACCTAATGCAGACTCTTGATTAGTACATTCTCCAAGCCTGAAGAGGATTTTCAATTCAAGCGGGGGGATTATTAATCAAGAGTCTACATCTACATCAAAAGATCGGTTCGCCAGATCCACCTGGACACCACACCTGCGACCCCCCTTCTCCAAGAGGCCAAGCATTTAGGACCTGTGCTGTTAGGAAGAACTGCTTCTGCATGCGCGTGCTCATTGGCGCTGTCCATAAGACAATCAAGATGATGTGGTAGACCACCACGACAATGATGGCGAAGAGGAAGAACACTCCTGGCGAAGATGTCCGTTTCACACTCCCCTTTCCCTTTTGGTTGAAGCCGTTTCGCGTTTCGCTGGGAAGAGTCTGGTGCGAGAGTCTCCATGTGAACCGCTAAACACGTGGTTCATGGGATCGGCATCGACTCATAGGATCGCCCCATGGACCCCGACTTCAACCACCCCACAGTATATGAGTCACTTTTACTTGGCATTTCTTCTCTGAAATCCAATGTGCAGTGTAAACTGCGCCTAGGGCCTACGGGAATCCGTTCCTTAGCCAGCAAGAACCTGAGTTCCCACACCAAACTCACGCCTGCGTGCCCGAGCAGGACACACCTGCGTGCCCTTGCAGCTGAATTAGCGAATTGCATTCGGTTTTGTGCACGACACGAGAATCGACTCCCACTCCTTGAAGCATGAGAATCCAAAAACCTGGGGCGGTGCAGGAAAAGACTGGCGAGGGCAATGCCCAAACGATGCATGTACCGAATGAGTTGAATAATAGGAAAAAACACACACATATATATACATATATACATGGATTGGAACCATATTGAAAGTGGAAAGCCACCTGTTTGTAGAGGACAATGGTCATCCAAGGGGCCAACCCACCCACCTCCACGAAAGCTGCAGGGACGGATTGAACATGGAAACATGTGTCCTTCAAGCCGGGGAACTCTCAAATGTATTGTAAGAGGTCGCTCTTGGAGTAGAGTAGTAGTTTCACACATGTTCTAAATCACCCTTAGTGCCGGCACTCGGCCGTACTAACAACTTTAAAACAAGCTCCGGTGCCACTGGAACCGGTCAATTCCATGACCTTAATGACCATGGGAAAAAGCAAAAGTCCCGAAGGGAAAGCCAGGACTTGATCAACAAACAGGTGCCTAGTCTAGACTACTCCATCAGTTTGAGAAAAAACAAGACAGTTCCGTCGGGGGCTGAGGTCACCTGGGCGTTTCACCAGTCCTGAACGGCCGAGTCCTCACGCTAACCCCGTCTCGGGAGGGATGCCCTGTCTGAAGGGGTGAGGACAAAGGACGCCCAGTCTCATTGCTTGGTCTCCGCGACATTGGCACCGTCGGATTCCAAAACCATATCAAACCATTGTACTATATATATATATATATGTATATACATGGCTAGACATGGCATATATAAATACATACTAATGCAGTCTATACATGTACATACACTGATGCACACCATTCACTAAGTCTGTGATGTTGGCGCCCCAAGAGCAACAGGATCCATCTGCGAATGTTTCTACTCCGCGATCACGTGGACGCCACGCCCATGGGCCCATGGGTGTTTAGTGGCGCGCCGGACTGGCGCCACAATCAGATAGATCCAACTAAATCAACTTCAAAAAACAGCACCAGCACCATCCATGAATGATTCTGGCTAGACTACCCAAGGTCTTACGGATCGGTCGCCCCGAAAAATCCGATCGATCGGTCAAACCTGGCCGAGTTGGCCATTGCTGAGACTTCACGTTGGGCCGAAGCGCCGTCAGGGTCTCCACTGGCTTCTGGGATCTTCATGCCTCGCGCCGCGCCGCGCCGCGGCAGAAGTGCGGACGGCCCCACTCCAACGCACCCGCGATGCTTCAGTGGGGACTGGGACCGAGGGGACCGAGCGCTGCGTCGCCGTGGCAAGAAATGAGGTCGCGGATGAGATGTAGACTGACAGGGCTTTCAAAGAACATGTGTGTTTTCTTTATCTGCCCTGTTGAGACTCTATATACAAAACGAAAATAGGTCATTTAATGTGTGTGTGTGTGTCCAGTTCCGATGCTACAATTGTATAAAGGGTGTCAACACCTGAAGGTCCCGCGTTGCCCAAACCACGTCTTTCGCTCGATCTCCTCCTTCACTCCTCTTTTCGCGGCTTCCCAGGCCAAACAAATCTGAAGGTCCCGGCATGCGCATCCGTTTACGACACACGATCCGTCTACGTGTGCGTTCCTGCGCATCCTGCACTTCAGGAGAGAGATCGGAATCAGCTCTCTGTCTGAACA